ATCTATCTTTCTATCTATCCCTATGTATCCCTATGTATGTATCTACATTTCTATCTATTATCTTCTATCTGTCCATCCATATATATATATAGAAGATATATATATATCTTCTATTGGTAGCTAATCTATCTTTTATCGATCTCTATATTTTTTATGTCTATCATATCTAACTTCTATTTTCATCTATCTATTATCTTCTATCTATCCATCTACATCTATTTTCATCTCTCTCTCTCTCTATCTGCATATGTCTCTATGTCCCCTTTGAATGTAATTTGATAGACAAAGATTTGTACTGGGAGGTTTTTTTTTAATCTAAGTATCTGAATTTCATTTTCTTCTTAGTTGAATGATTTCTTTTTGATAAAGTTGAATGAGTAAAAGATAAAGTTTAAATATAGCCAAAAAAAAAAAAAGGAGGCTGAGTGAGCCACAGAGAGCAAGCTAGAAAGCAGCACCAATCCATGGCTCTGTGTCTGTTTCTGCCTCCAGGTTCCAGCCCCTCTTCATTTCCTTTCCTTACTTCTTTTGGTGATAGACTATAGTATGGAAGTTTAAGCCAAATAACAAGCTCCTCACTCCCCCTCTCCCCCCCCCCCAATGGCTTTTGGTCATGGTGTTTTATCATAACAATAGTAACCCTAACTAGGGTACTTAATTTCATTAGTTCCAACTTTACACAAGCTTTGATGACCAAATGCTTCAAATTTCACATCTTTCAAGGGTATGTTTTGTTTCTAATTCTCACTATAAACCAGGCTAATCCAGAAATAGCTATGCCACCTCCTAACTGCTGGAATGTCTTGAAATGTCCTTTGCCATTAGTCTTAGGCCAGGAACAAAGGCAGACAGGTTCTCTGCCAGAATGTGACATGCATGGCATCTAGTTTAGTTTGTGGTAGACTCCACCCTCCCATTTCCCACAACCACCCAAAATAGCACTCCAAGTTCAGAAGCAAGTATTTAACCCTTGAGCCTATAGGGAACATTTCATATTCAGGCTGTTAAAACACTAAGGTGATGATGCATTGTTTTTACACAATATGATTGTCACTCTCATGCTGTTCAGAACCAGGATGAAATGGAAAAGTAAGCATTGATAAGAGCTCTGTCCACATTCCCCATGCCATTGACAGATATAAAGAAAACAAAATACTTCCTGCCACTGAGTCACGTCTCTTAGGATCCTGTACATTTAGTCCACGATACAAGCTGAAATCAACCATGCCACAAAAAAACAAATGCAAATGCTTGCATTTGAGAGATTTAGAAAATGCATAGACAAAAATCTCCATTTGGGCATTTTAGACTGAAGTAAATTCTTAGAAAAGTTACAGCGTATCCATTGTTCCATGCTTTGACAGACACAAAGGAGACATGATTTCAGTTCATGGAAAGCCTAAGGTTTCGATAGGAGAGAAAATGATAATGGCACTTGACAACACTAGGTAATTCCATGAGGGGTGATGTGACAATTGGAAGTCCTTATGTGAAATAGCCTCTTGAGCAATGCTAAAGAGTTGGGAACTGGGTGTGACTCAGCCTTCGTGTAGCAGGAACAACAGCCTGAGCCCATGGACAAAACAGGAGGGTTATGGTTGGCAAGGTGACTGGGTCACTGGAACCCTGAACTGTTTCTGAATTCGTATTGGGTGTTTTGGATATATGAATTGCTTCTCAATCCTTGGATAGTTTTCTTTTGGCGGCAAGACAAATTACTGCAAGCGTGGCAACACCACACAGATTCGTGGCCTTATGGTTCTCTGTGTCAGAAGTCTTGTAGGCTAAGTAGGTTTATTTGCCTTAAGCTCGTAAGACTAAGGCCAAGGCTTTAGTGCTTGGCTAGGGCTGAGAACTGGCTTCCAGGCTCGTTTGTGTTGCGGGTAGATCTGACTCCTGTGCATTTACAGAGCAGCCTCTTTTTCTTGATGGCTGTTGGAATGTTGTGATTCTAGAGGATACATGCCTTGTTGACTTGTAATTCTTCTACATCTTCAAAGCTAATAATGGTTTGAGTCCTTCCAATACAGCCCATAGTTCCAAGGCCTTCCACTTTAGATCTATAACTCTGATAGTTCTGCCTTTGTTTTTTTTTTTTTTTTTTTTTCCCATCTATGACCTCATGTGATGATATGGTCCTAACCACATCAGAATTAATCTCCTAATACCTGATATTGGAAGTCACTAACTTTATTTCTATTGACTTCTAAGGTAACATGTTCACGGGATCCATGGCCCAACAGGATGGCCCACAACAGATGCCAGACTATGTTCTTGGACTTTTACAATTGTGAGTCAAACCTCTCTTTTTCATAGATTTCCATCGAGTCTGTAGCATTTAGCTAGCATCATAGAGAATGAACTGAGTCAGAAAGTGACAAGAACTCAGTGAGTGAAGAAAGGGAATGCTTAGAAATGAGGTCAGAGAATCATAGACAAAGTCATCTGTCATTAGTTTGCATTAAGCAGATCCTGGGAGCCCACACACTCTTTCTCTCTGTGTACTCCAAGACTGTAGTCTGACTAGTATACAGACGGAATTATTTAAGAAATTTGGACCAAAGAACAAAATAGCATATTTCAAGTTCTGGCTATAGATTGCTGTGAAAAATTAACTTGTTATATGCGTTTATTGACTATTGTTTATAACCAAACAAAGCTGCTCTCATTTCTATAATAAGAAGAGCTGGTAATATTGTACCTTTCTTCTTTTCAACCCTCAATATTATTATACAATAAAGAGCTGAATATATAATATACCACCAAGAGGGTAATGAGCAGGATTCAATCACACATTTAAATGAATTAAAAAAATCTGAACCATGTCCAAGCCGTTCCATCTAAGCATCACTTAAGAATCTGTTTGTTCAGTTGAGTTTTGTCTCTGCAGCTGCCAAGACACTTCAGTTCTGCCAGCTCCACACTCTGATTGCAAAATAAATGGTGGTCACTTAACAGTGGATGTGAAAAATCAGGGTGTTCCGTGGGAAGACCAGGATGAGAATCCTGATTATAGAACGCTAGAGGCTCCACTCGGAGGCTACTCATATAGCCTGAGGGCCGTTCATCTTGAGGGGGTGTTCTCACCTGCCCCGAATCTAGCAGCCTTTGGCGGGGTGTGTATGCTTTTGGAAGATGGCTGCAACTTTGCTGGAGCCACATTCATAAATATTTTTGTAGTATAATAGGTTGTCAAAACAAATCTGTGTTTTCCATTTGTGTGTGCATGAGTGTGTCAGTACGCCTCTTTATCTCTCTGTCCGTGTGGTAGCAGAGCACAAATAACTTACTTTCTTCATTGCAGATTTTTTCCCCCCTCATGATGTGGATATGTGCAGTTGTGATTAAGGAGGACTGGGCACAGAGATGGCCTTGTGACCTACGGGAACCACCGCTTTGTTTCTATTCTAGAAAAGTTGTTCTCTGGTGTGGCTGGGACCCATGGTCCCTTTCAACATTTTCTGAAGCTTGGTGCTCACTGTAACACTGAAGAGAGAACACCTAGATGGTCTTGTTGACCATACAGTCATGCTTGTAAGATTGTGTCATAGCCATAGCATTGTACCACATTCTACCCATCCTCATTATTTACCAGCTGTGTGACCTTAGGAGAGGCCTCTGACTTCCCTGAGCCTCCATTGCCTTTTTTTTTTTTTTTAGAATTAAGAAAACAATGTAGTGGTTGTGAGAATTGACACCTGACAAGACAAATAAAGCAGTGTAGCGTCTGTCCCAGCCAAATGTGCTATAAATGGCAGCCATTTTTATTATCAGTTTTCATTGGCTTATTTCATATGGCTGGCACAGCATGCATTCTTGGCAAAGCAGTTGTCTCTGGTGCATGAAAACTCAGGGCCCTAGAGGATAGCACATCAAACGCTCCCACTTAATACATACCTGCCTTTGAGTTTTTCACAATATTTTTCTCCTTTCAAGTGAACCTGGAGAAAACATTTTGCTGCTTGCTGCCTGAATTTGCCAGCAATTCTAGTTTCCAAGGAGATTGTAAATGGATGTATTTGTGTCTGCTGATTTGCTTCAACTTTGGGAGGGTTCCTTAGGGGATTCTTCAAAAGAAACAGATTATAATGGAATTGCTTTTCCTTGTTTCATGAGCCATAGAAAGTGTGTGTGTGTGTGTGTGTGTGTGTGTGTGTGTGTGTGTATGTGTGTATTTGTGTGTGTGTGTATGACCTTGGTGATCTAAAAGTTACTTATAAATGGCCAGGCAAAAATGGAATAATTTGCTAATGAAAGATTTATCTCCCCATGACTGCAATTTTATATGTCCTTTTAAATTAATTTACTTTTTTTTTTTCTATTTAGAAAAACATCTAGTGCAATTTGGAATTGTAATTAGGATGCTCTGTGCCATCTGCAGTGCTTGCTGTAATTCTCTAGCCCCACTCAGATTACATCACGAAGAAAGCAGGAGCTGGAGTCTGATTTTCATGCTGGAAAACCCAACAGCACCCATGCCATGTTTATCCTCAGCAAGTGTTTGCTATTGGCTGATCAACAACGAAGTTTGCTTCTGGCTTGCGCTAGTGCTTAGAGCAAAGAATTAAATTGTTGACCAGAAGTGTCATTTTCAACGGCTCTTGATACAAATTCTAAATTGATAGCAATAGTCTGTTTGACATTGACCTGGGCCTCTCTCATTTCTATTTAATCAAATGTGGCTTCGAGTCTCATGAGGAATCATCACTTTTGACTTTTTCTTTTTTTAAAATAAATCTTACTGTTGGAAATTTAAGTTTAGAGTTCAATGTTGTTCTTTTTACTGAACATTCTGATTCTCCATGTCCACTGGTAAGGGACCGTTGTTTATTTTGCAAGCCCTGGTTCAAGTTTAACTGGTCATTCTTTGTTTGTCACGCAGTCACTTGGCATTGAGAAGCATAAAGTGTTGTGGAAACACAAGCTTCAGAAGACTTTGCAGTCTGGTTGCATGCTGTTTGTCTTACTGGCTTGGTGAACTCCAGAAAAGTAATTCGCCTTTGTGAGTTTCTCCGTTGACGTCTATGGACAAAGGTTGCTGTGGTGACAACTGAGAATCATAAGTGAAATGCCAGCAATATGCTTTGCTCATAGGTAGGAGACTCTCTGTTAAGATAAGTTATTCTTTCTTACTTCCAGCATCTCACTGGACAGGTCAGCCCAGTTTATATCCTCCAGAAAGTAGACAGCCTAGATGAGGGATGTGAAAAAGCAGTAGCGATGAACCAATATTAGCAACAGTTGTCCTAGTCTTATTTAAAGTCGGTCTGTGAATAGTTTGGGTGAAAAGAGTGAGTGGTAAACAGCCTAAGAAAAGTCTAAATGAAACATGTTTGGCAGCCAACCTCAGCTTCACGTATTGGAGCTACCCACTTGCCAGTACCTTCTGCTCTGATGGCTGAATTGTGGTGAGCCCACAAAAGCTAACGCCTGCTTGTTAGGCAAGTGGACCATGTTCCTCCCTGGCAGTTGTGTTAGATTAAGTATTGGTAAAGAGTTTGTTTGTTTGTTTGTTTTTATAGATCAAATAGGTAATATGCTTTTAACTCAATTATCTTTAATATTCTCAATTCAAAATACACGCAATGGGATGGGAGTGCTGGGGGAGGAACCCAACCCCCATGAGCAGATTTGTTACCACCCCATCTGCCGTTCCAAATGCTAAATCTCAGGAACACCACTGCTTTGCAGTATGTTATATTTTACAAGACTTTGGGGAAAGAGAAACACAGAAAGATAGTGACAATCACTGCGGGGCTAGAGAGACAGAGAGCATAAGGTTAGAGCTAAAACTTCTAAAAAGCAACTGGAGTGTTGGAAAAAGGAACAGAGGGAAAAGTTGAATATATTTACCAGGGAATTAATGAACAGGCTAAAGGTATTTATGTAGGCAGTGAGCATATGGAAAAGGGGGAAATGAATCACGGAAGAAGGCAGTGAGTCTAACTCTACGAATAATTTTGTCTTGAGAAGTGGTGTGCGTGTTGTGTATGAGAACATTTTCACATATATATGAAAATTATATATATTTAAAAATTGTATATATACTTGAAAATTTTATATATATATATATATATATATATATATATATATATATAAAATTATATATATACACACATGGAAGGAGAAGTTACTAAATTCAGTCCAGAGTATATAATAAGAAAAACATGTCTACCATAATAGTAGTATGATTAATATCATGGTAGTTGATGTGTTCTGCAGCGCTGTATCTAAACTATAGCCTGTATGGTATTAGGGAGCAATTCTAAGAAGGAAGCCATGAAGCCATAGGGGAGAGGCGGAACACGGAGACCTGTGTGAATATGGTAATCTCTTTTGCTTCCTGGCACTTGGATTGCCCCTTCCCCTTTCTGGATTCAAGACTCACTATCATGCCAAGTGACTAGTGTTGCCAAAGACCAGATATCTCCTTGCATGGTGTCTGTTGCAAGTAAAATCTTGGAGGGGATGGGTAGCCTGGAGAGACAGTGGGCTTTAGCGAGACTGTGACAGGAGAGGGTGGAGAGCTTCTGCAATGTGGGACTGTATAGGTCAGGAGGTGTCTTAGTTAGGGTGACTACTGCTGTGATGAAACACCATGACCAACAGCAACCTGTTGGGGGAAAGGGTCATTTTGCTTTTACTTTCACATCACAGCCCATCATCAAAGAAAGTCAGGGCAGGAACTCAAGCAAGAACCTGGAGTGAGGAGCTGATGCGTATAGGCCGTGGCCGAGTGCTTCTTACTGGCTTGTTCCCCATGCCTTGCTCAGCCTGCTTTCCTATAGAACTCAGAATCACCAGCCCAGGGGTGGCGCCAACCTCAATGGGCTTGACCTTCCCACATTGATCACCAATTAAGAAAATGCCCTATGGTTTGTCTACAGCCCAATCTTATGAAGGCATTTTCTCAATTGAGGTTCCCTTCTCCCAGATGACTCTAGGTTGTGTCAGGTTGACACAGACTGGCCAAAGCAGAGGAGAAGATGGATTTGGTCCTAAATGTCTCTGGTACTGAATGTCTTGTGTTGTTAAACAAATTGTAATGTTGGGGACAGTGTTAAAGGAATATATGTGGGAACGGTGGGTACAGGAAGAGATAAATCAATTGGAAGGGATAGTGTATAATACAAAAGAAAAGGCTCACAGCAGTTGAAAAAAAGTGGCAGAACATAGAAAGTATGAAAAAAGCTCTAAGAAGGTGGGTCTAACAAAAAATGAGAGGATAGCCAGGAATGCAGTTTCCTGCTTACCATCGGCAGAAGGAAGCACACACACACACACACACACACACACACACACTACAGCTCAAGTGAGTCCCTGAGTCAGAGGAAAAACACCTGTGACAACCCCAAATGCTCAAGCAAAGTGGCATCGCCTGCAGCAGCCCTCTTGGCTGCAGCATAAGGCCCATGGTTTGCAGAAGGCATGCTCAGAGCTGATAGGTGAGACCATGATCCAGGAGAGAGCTGCTGCTTCTCCTGCTTCCCCTTCTTCCTCCTCCTCCTCCTCCTTCTCCTCTTCTTGCCATCTAGAGATTTAGGGCTTTATTTTTTTTAGTGTTTTACATGTACTTTAGTATCACAGAGGAGGTTTACAATGTTTTTTTTTTTAGGTCAACATTAACAGTGTCCTTAGTTGAATTTGCATGTTTATTAATGGCATCTACGTATATGCAAAGCGTTTTGCTTACTCTGTGTTTGGCTTTACAGGCTCTTGTTTGTCTAAATTACACGGATTCTGCGTCCAACCTAAATATTTCATTCTTTTAAGCACTTGCTGAAAATGTCTGCGACAGCCAGCCACGACTGCAGAATCCTCTGTTGTCAACGTCAAGACCAATGGCATGTATTTATCTTCACGCTCTACCCCAATTCCAAGGGTTGAATATGTATTATACCATTTGAACCTTGCATGAATTGTATAAATTTGATCATTTCATCTTTATTTTATGGCAAAAGGAGGAAAAGGCACAATTGCTTAAATTCATGGAGAACCCTTGTGCTGAAATGCCCACTGCTCAGAATTCCCAAAATGTAATACACAAAAAACAAACAAACAAACAAACTTAAAAAAAATTTAAAACTACTGAAAAAGTTAAGAAGGAAAGAATAAATTCCGGAACCAGTGACTTAGAATTTGTGCGATTCACATGCATGTCAAAGACTGGACCTTGGGCTGGGAGTATAGCTCTTGGGTAGAGGCCTTGAAGTTCAAACCCCAGGTCTACAGACAAATAAAAAACAAAGTGCTTACACATCAAAGTTCATTACAGTAGTATTCACAATCCTTACATGATGGCAATCTACCTACGCAACAGTGGAGGACTAGATAAGGAGAAGATTCATATACGTATTTTTTTTCTTCAGCCTTAGATAACAATAAAGGTATGGCATTTGCAGAAAAATGGATCCAACTGGAGACACCATGTTAAGTGAGTTAAGCCAGTCTCAGAAAGATAAATTTTATGTGTTTTCCCCCCATAGGGTGATTTCTAGATTTTATAAACATATAAAATCATGTATGTATTTATGACATAAAAACAGAAGTGAAACTATCTAAGGAAACAACAGGAAGCTTGAGTGGGAAGCACGGGGAGGAAGGAGAGGATGGGGAGGAAGGGTATGTTCGATGTACAATATACAGTCATAGGAAAATGACTTCCTGTAAAACTACCATGTGCAATGAATCTGTACAATGGGGAAAAGACTCAGAGCTTTGTCCCTTGATCTCTCTTATCCTGTAGGGATGAACAATGCTTGTATTTGGTGTCTTGGTGTTTATCTGAATAGAAAGTAGAATTCTGGGAGAATGGACACAGAAACATTGAGAAGGAGAGCTAATACCCAGACCCTAGGGCAAACTGGTAACTGAATTTCTTTTGGAGTCCAAACGATTGCTGGGGGTTGTCTGTAGACTGAGGCTGTAACAGACCTCAGAAAGAAAGAATATTTTATTAGTATAATTTCTTTTTAGAGTTTTGATTCTTTTAAAATGTACAAATTAGAGAATGTCATTTGTGTGTGTGTGTGTGTGTGTGTGTGTGTGTGTGTGTGTGTGTGTGT